CCCATTTCGTCTGATGCGTAGTCTTATGATGTGCTACATCATCGGTAGAAAAGTCGTGATACTTGTTCGTTTGTTCTACGATGATATCAATCATTTTTTTGTCAAATAATAGTTCGAAATAATCAAGCGGAGTATTGTTCTTCATAGCGCTAATTTTTGATGAAACACCAGAGTTTTGTTCGTCGAAGTGAAATAGATGTGGTTCAAATGTAGTTTTACTCCAGTTTCGATTTACAGATTGTTCTTTCTGTGCTAGTTCGTCGTTTGATTCGTCGCTATCCACGTCTGATGGATAAACTTCATCAATATCCATGTCGAAATCATGATATTGTCATGACAGTAATATCTACAAAACTTCAAACACCATATATGGTTGATCCGTAACCAAAGGGTTAAGGGTTCATAAATAATTAAAGACGAATTATATAGACGAACATATTGAGCACTATCCTGTCCAACATTTTCACTAATTTCGACAATTAAACTAGATGAATTCAAATATTTTTCATGCATTGCATGACAAATCGTTGATTGTTTCCAGAAGTGACGATGATCTCATGTCCGTTTAAACATTTTACGGAATAATCAGTTAGATTAAAATTATCACAATTATATAATGGATTTAGTGGAAAAGTGAAAGATAAAAAATAACGAACTAATATAAAACATAATGTAATCAAGGTAATGCCCACCACAAATGTTCGGATAGGCATTTTATGATACGTAGAGGATATATACAACCTTTTCTATAATTCTCATTCAACGAACATTATCATGGTACCCTTTGATATCACTAGTATGTTTAGAAATATCTCGCTAGACGAAACCATTGAGATTGTTTTAAAAGAAGTCTGTGTCTCGTGAAAGGAAAATGTTTATTTAATTGTGGCTCCGAAACATGATCCTCGACTAAGCATTATGTAGACAAGAATACAGAATTAATGATTATATACGCAGAACAATCAGTCAGATGTTGCTGATATTTCAATCTGATATTTTCTATCTCGTGTGGCTGATTATATTTATTGTATCGGATGTTAAATGATGATCTACTAAATGTTTACGACAAAAATCTGAACCTTCACGAATAATAACATTTTGGCTAGAATCATCAGCCTGCAAGCCTCTCTCTCCCTCTGTGATGCTGCTTTAAACTGTTTGAACATACACTAGCTGATGTCTTTAGCCTGTGATTCATCGTTTTCCGATATGGTTTTACCTCTGTGTCATTTAGCAACTTCTTTTTAGAGGATACTTTTAGAGCTTGTCCCAAATAAATTTCAAATTGAAAGAATTACGTCTGTCTACTTGTAATCTACGGGAAAGCCTACATAATTTCTATGCCTTCACACATCTGTATTTTCCTGCAAAAGAGACAACGAAAACAGTAAAAAAATAGTGGTAAAATTCTGTCAACAATACTGGCTTTGGTCTAAGAAGCGTTTTTGCTTTACCAGCAAGCGAAAAAAGTTATTGCAACAGAAGATCAACCTTTAGAATTCGACGTGTCGGACAAAATGGAAGACCGGATTGTCTTGTAATATGATCAGGTGGTATAGTTAAAGAAGGTTCCGTGTATATAGATATTTTAATTTAAGTATTGCTTTAATATTATCATTATACACTAGCTAATGTTAATATTTCTGTGGAGCTCAGTTCGCGTCTATAAGCATATAATTCATCAATTGATCCTTGATAGCTACTTCCTATTTGAATAGTTTGGAGATTGTAGTTAAAATAGTACGTAGAAATACCCGTTATTGCACCTTGTGATACACCATTAACATATAAAATAAAACCATTAGTTACGCTAAATGTGCAGGCCACATGCGCCCAAGTATTGACTACTACAACAGCACCATATATATATTGCCAAGCGTACATAGGAGATTGTGATAGAATTTGCGCAGCTATCTGCCCACTGTAAGTAAAGCCAAGCATCTGGTATCCTTGAGTACTATATATTAAAGTACCCCCATTTATAGATAATGGGTAGACCCACATGGCAAATGTAAGCGATTTACTAGAAGGCCAGCCAACTCCGGTAAAACAGCATATTTGCAAATAACTTGAAGTACTTGTGAGGCGAATGGCTTGCCCCACATGTCTACTCGCAGATGATAAAAGGCTCGTAACTGTTGCATTCAAACGATTTTGACCATTGTCATAGTACGGATTTGGCTGATCGAATGAGTAGTAGAATACTAGTGTTGCATCTGCTAATATTTCTGCTGAACTTTTAGCACGTGTGGTCAATTGTGCATTATCTATCATACCGTAGTAATAAGTCGATATTAAATTTGGTGAAAAACCAAAATACATAGATCCATTCGTTCCGAGATAAGGCGTCGTCACACTAGAACGGACTGCATCTTGAACGCCATCGAGATAAATAAATTGTTGAAACGTTTGGTAGTTATAGACAAAGGCCACATGGTACCAATTGTTCACAGACAACGTTGTTGACCCCGATAAATCATTGAAATTAAAGCCCATGTACAATTTACTACTTCGAACAAGAAAAAATAAACACTGACTTGTACAAGTGGTACATGTACATTGGCTAAATATAGGTTGATCAGTCGTCATACTGTAAAAATAAACCCATGCTTCAAATGTGAAACTTCGAGAGTTCAGATTGAAATAGGATGAGGCTGGCACTTGCATATAATTGTTTGTATTAGGTATGTAGAAATATGTGCCACCATAGAAACCTGATGTAAGGTATTGACATGAGCCACAGTTACTTGTTTCATTATAAACACCATATAAGTCATTGCCATTGCCTTCGAAATTCCAATAAGCAAGAATTGGTGCAGAGGTTGTTGTAATCGTTGTCGCTGGTGACGATTCTACAATTTTCTTAATTATAAAAGCTATTCCCTGAGAACTATTGTTACTGTGAGAGCTATCTGCTGCTAAACAGAAATATGTGTACTGTCTTACAAAATACGCACAGTACGACAATACAAAAGTTGCTGAAGCGTTCGAGACATGAGAATATTTGACATCAGATGAAAAGTATTTCCTACGCCTCATAAAATACCAGTAACTTGTAGTCATTTATTTAGCATCTATGTGTTCTTATCGCTACCGAAGATAGTATTAATTTTTATTGTATCAATCAAGGAATCGGAGGAGTAGGAAGAAGAAGGCGATTTCTTTCCAACGTGCCGTCTGGCTTCTCTTTCAACTAGCTTTTATTAGAACTAGGGAATGCTATGAAAATATGGTGATAAGTTATCTCACAGCAACTATATATTTGGTTATGCGATGATGTGTTTCCGAATCATAGTGTGATGGGATGGGAGGGTACGAAGAAGTCGTCCCGTCTGTTCTATCAACGTTGTTCAATGCACATTTCTGACCAAGAGCTAATCTACTCATTTAAACATGTTTTCCACTGCAACTGAAAACAGCTTAGTGTCCACAGGAGATTTGGAAGAGCTTACTGTTTTCAATTTTAAACGCTAACCAGTTGCTTCTACTTGGGAAGTGCTTCCAAGCACTTGAAAAGAGAAAGTTAGAAGCACTTGGAAGCGCTTCTTCATGGAAACGGTATCGTTTTCGAAGTTTTCTAAGCTCTTGCAAGCCCACAATTCAAGGTAAAAAAGGTGTAGCTTATAGCTTATATTTTTACGTGGATAGGTAAGGGTTTCATGAGATGAAGCCACTGTGCCCTGTCATGATCGCATTGGCCTTACTAGGGTCTTCATTCTTGTCTTCATTCGCTCATTCCCAATTAGTGTGTCTTGATGAATGAATGCCGAGCAAATCGTAAATCAAGTCATACAGATAACACTGATCTACGAAAGAATGTATTGTCTAAATAGCAGTCGTCGTAAATATTTTTTAAGCAAGTCTGCGTTTTCTCCATGCTACTTTTTTCGGTTTTCGTAATGCATGTACTGATCTCAAGTACTTGAACAAGTACTTGAATCATGTAGAAAAAAACTTCCACTGCGATAGGTAATGTCCTGTACCAACTACTTGCGTACTGTCTAGTATCTAGGAGCGCTACATACACTACGCTACTCTCTTTTGAAAAAGAATACTGCAAGATGCTAACCCTAGTGAAGGTACTTGAGGCCAAGGACCTTGTTTGCGTAATGAAGGCGGTACTTGCCTGTTTTCAAGAAATTGAAGTAAATTTACAAGAAGAAAGAAGTAAATTTACTTGTAAGTACTTATCCTTACTTAACGCGTACTTTCAGAAAGTACTTCTTAGCAATTAAGCAAGTATTTCGACCATTGACAAGTACTTAGCAAGTGCTTGTATCAGACACGGTCGCTAGAGATCAGGCTGTCTGATAGAGATGAATAGTAATATTTCCAGAAATCGCTTCTCTTGAAAAAAGATCAGGCTTACATTTTCAAGGTTTACACTACGAAATTCGAGTCGAGAACGAAAAATTGACCTTGGAACATGCCTCTTTTTTTCGCAAAAGTCAGTGACTTAGAATGCAAACCTCCAGGATGAACGGGACGAATTCTGAAAATGTGGAGTGGGAGACGAAACCGAGAAGAATCTGGTTGGGACGCCAAAAAACTTTGGCGGGGCGGATCCCTATGCAGCTGTACATATATTGAACGGGAAAGATTTATGAAATGTCGGTAAGGTCACTGTTTACTAGCGAAAAATGTATGAAAGGAGTTTGAGTCAGAGTTAGAATCGTGCCGGCACCCTAACGAGTAAAAACTGACCGGTTAGCGCTGGAATTGCTTTAACCGACAAGATCTTCCCAGTTGAACATACTCTATTTACCTAGCCAATTTTCACCCGCTTGAGCATTTTGAGATAACAAAATAGTGTTTTTTCTCCAAATAAAATAATTTTATCTTGTCAGAGATTTCGACTATTTCTCCTTTTCTTTAGCTAGGGAACTTTTTGCTTTGTATGAGAATGAATGAAATCAACTGATGTCACATAATTCAGTTATATTATCACAGCAGTCGATTTTTTGGACGGTTTGAACAACATCTCTAAACCGGTCGGCTCTTGACCGACGTTGAAACGTTCTTCCAACCAGTCTGTCACCGACCCAACTGGGAAATTCTCAACCAACCGCTGCCAGCTTTGTTCTGAGTAATGCGAAATCAGTAAACAGAAAAGTGATACTTTTAACCGTTTGCCGTTCTAGCCTGTTCGCAATATTAAGCTGTATATAATTCAGTTTACTGTTCCCTCTTGAGTCAAGTACTTCGGTTAAGTAATGCGGACAGTATGTTAACTTTTCCAGTAAATTTACATGTCAAGTACTGAAGTAAAGAAAGTAAAATGTAAGCCCTTGACTGACACAATGCAAGGAAATCTACTTGAAAAAGTTAAAGACACATACCTGCTCCATTTATTTTTATTTTGTATTCCATACATATTCCGGAGCTGTACCCTAGAGAACGTACTTGGGGCCAAGTACTTTGTCTGCGTAATGAAGACGGTACTTGCCTTTTTTCAAGAAGTAAATTTACTTGTAACTACTTGCCGCGTACTTTCAGAAAGTACTTCTTAACAATAAGGCAAGTATTTCGATCATTGACAAGTACTTAGTAAGTAATCAAGTACTTGCATCAAGTTCCGTCGCAGTAGAAATATATAAGTTTATTTTATAAGTGTATAACGATCCATATTGTAGTGTTTATATGCAAGCGATCAATGCAAAAGACTGACTTATCCAAGTACCAAATAAGGATACTTGGCAAATTCTTGCTCAAGTACTTGCCAAGCGCTTAACTCGTCATGTACTTCCCAAATACTCATCAAGTAATAAAGTACTTGTACCAAATACATTCGCTAGGGTATGATTTAAGAGTCTTCTAAGGAAAGTGTTTTTTACTTTGTATTGTTGTTGGTTTTTTTGTTGCTTTGCTAGTTGTCTTGGCAGTTGCGGTTGTGGCTCTTTTTGTAGCTAAAAAAGACAGTGTACGTTCACACAATGCATTTTTCTTGATACGCATCATATCTCCTATTCACACATCATTTATTTCAATGCACACTGGTAGCAGTTGCATACTTGATGTAGACTTGACAGTGATTGTGGAAGGCCTCATTGTTGTTATGGCTTTAAAGAAACCAACGTTAAGATATTTGGTTTCTCCTGCTTTGAAGAAACTTACTAGTTCTGACTATGGTCGTTATTCTCGCTGTTGTGACAGCCGCTGCACTGGTACTCGTAGTGGTTAAAATTCGTGACGATGGTGGACATGTTTGTATCGACGCTAATGCCAGTGGATAGCAAATTGCCTCTTGACATCGTATACTGTTAACACAAATTGTGTTTGGTACTGCACATGTGAAATTCTGAGATGAAGTGCATTGAACAACTGCGATGCAGGACAGAAGAGCATAGCCACAGATGCCTTGAGTTCCATTGATGCTTGCTGCCAAGGTAAAACATTCACAATCCAAATTTGAAGAACAAGATGGCAATTTGGTACTACCAACAATGTTAAGCGTATTTCTACACGGTGATGATGGCGTACAAGTTGAAATATCGACCATAGCTGGAAAAAACAAGCAAATAAAACACTGATCTCATACTCTGACAGAGAAATAATAGGTAACCTTACTTGTTTCTTGACCGTTGGATATTGTTCTTTATTTTAAAAACGAATAGAAATGAATGGAAATTATAGTGCCGAGCAGTAGGTAGTATCCAATATATACTTACAAAACCCATAGGAAAACAGCTAACGAAGTTTTCTCCATTTATAATTGTTTTTTTTCTAATCGATTTTCTTCAAAATGCCTCTTGCCTAGTATGTAAAATTCCAATTTTTGGTAAAATGGTATATTTTATCGAAAATACAGTGTCATTCACACTGTTCTGCAAAACATAAAAATAAATTTCTAGTTTGCCTGTTTTTTTGAATGCCTGTCGGATGAAAAACATTTTTTAAAATTTTAATCAGCGAAGTGTCGTGTTACGTGGACAAGCCGTCTGTAAATGATTTTATTTGATGTAATGAAAAAACAAGAAAAAACGACTGTTTGCTTTCACAAACAAAAACAAAAAAATGACCGGTAGTAATATAACATTTTCTTTTTTTTCGTTTGCATCACATAACAGCTATAAGAATTCTATTTTTCACTTCAAGCTGACGTTATTTATTTGCTTGTTTCGATTGACAGAAAATATCGTGCTGCAACGAATCTTTTTTTAAAAGTATATACGAGTGAATTGCAAGAAAAAACACTTTCTTTAGAAGACTAGAGATGGTGTCTCGAAATGAAAATTTTGTTTTTAAAAAAATATTGTTTCCTTGCAGAGTTCTAGCCCAAACAAAATTTGCTCAGGAAGGCATAAACGTAATAAAATCAGAACCCTTATAACTCGGAAAAGAAAGTGCAAAAAGGCATATAAGAGATTTGCATTCTGAGATACAGTGTATGTAGTATATATGGTAAAAATTTCAGACCGATCGAACAAAATTTGAGGTGGGAGTTGTAATGTACACCAATTTTGACCGGTAGCATTTTGCGTATTGCATTTTTGAGGAGAATGTATTCGTAGAATAGCCAGACCAATACTCATTTTAAAAGACGAGAGGTCTCATTAGAAAGAAAACACTTTTTTCTACAGAATCATCGAATCAAAATTTTTTCTTCATCCTGTTAGAAACGCAAAAAATTGAAAGGCTTGGATTTTTCAGAATTTCAGATTTCTGTTTATAATTTCAAAATGTTCATAACTCGGTGAAGGTTGATTGTAGAAAGCTGGAAGACGTCTCATCGGAAAGAGAATTTTTGCTTACACAAAACTGCCGCCTCGGTTCGGTTTTGAAAAATTTGAGAAAAAGAAACCTACAGTCTAACGTTAAAATAAATAGTAAACAGAAACGAACTAACCTAATGCAATGCCACTTTCTTTATAGAGCACCTAAGTGTAGCCTAAGGAACTGGAACGACGTGGAATTCAACCTCTCGAGAATTCTATAGGCACGAAAGGGAATCAAATCAAAAGGTAAACGGTCTAAACTTACTCGATAGTAGTTTCCATTCTTCTTCATTATAACCATACATAGGTACTTTTCCAACAACATGTTTTTCATACATATCATTTGGCACTAAACACTGG